TATATCCTTCCTGTCATTGAGGTCTTAGCTCAGATGATGTCTTCTCAGAGAGGCAGTCCCTAACCAGGCAGGCTAAGCCAGCTGACTCTGTTGTCATTGGGGTCTAAGCTCTATGAGGGAGAGAGTTTTTGTATGTTTTCTTTACTAGGTACTTACATACTGAGTGAATATTGAATACATCAATCCCCCCTTTTACTATTTGCATTTGAGTGTATACTTTATGAGGACAGGGAGCTTGTCTTTTTCACTATTGTTGCGAGTACCTAGAACCAAACATGAGCCTTACTAGTTTCTTAACAAATAATCTTTCGAACGTTGAATGAATGAATAAATTAATGGATTCATTGACTTCTTTCTCCAACCCAGGCACCATGGTAAGTCAAGTTAACCATCAAGCCTGCTGAATATTACCTAACCCACTCGCCTTTATGTATCAGCCTTCCTTCTACATAGTTTTGGGTGCAGGCCTCCTCTCTTTCTTATCAATATCTAGCCAAATATCTTACATTTCCTTATATTTGAAGGGATCTGATTATAATTAGTTTAAGCCTCTGTCTTACATTTTACCTGATGTATCACAACATTTTTTTCGTTTCCTTCACTGTAAACTACTGAACAGTCGTATTAATTTTTACATTTCCTAAACCTGTAACAGTACCTGCTTATATTATATTGTGTGCCTAATTAAAGTTTATTTCTTATTTTCATCCTCACAACCACCATGTGAGGCTTGCTGCCTATATGAATATTTTCCTCATTTTATAAATGTAGATACTGAGGTATTATTAAGAGATTATTTTCCCCAAACTTCCCTTCCTATTAAGTGATAGAACTAGACATTAAACTGAGGCCCTTGTGCTACTCAGTCTTATGTTACTACTTTCCTCAAATCTTCTTATTACTTTGTCTCCAGAAATCAATCTTGCCTCCTGTCACAAATAAACATGAGGTTCTGAGCTCTGTCTGCTTTGTCCTTGTTCTTGGAAACGTGTTTGTATCTGTGCCTACTCTTAGCTTGTTCCTTCTAGCTTGAGATGAAGCTCAAGCTTTGCCTGTCTAAGAACCATCTCCCTTTACCAAGTTTTATTGTGAAGACTTTCAGACATATGGAAAAGTAGAACAATAAAAGTCATGCTCATATACCCATTGTCTGTATCTAACAACTGTTAACATTTTGCCTCCCATTTCACCTGAAATCATAGATTTTGTGATGTTTCTTGGATAGCTGCCTGTTGACACACCTCAAAATTTTTCCTACATGACATTTTCTTATAAAACATAACACAATGTTCAATTTAATAAAGCGAGTACTAATTCCTTAATATTATGTAATGTCCAGTTCACGTTCAAATATTTCCTGTTATCTCTGAAAAGAAATGTCTTTTACAATTGATTTGTTTAAAAGAGGATCTAGTCAGTGACAACACTTAGATATTGTGTTTTCCAAGTCTAGAAGCTTTCTTGTTCAAAATGACATTGGCATGCTGAAAAGACTATACTGTTTGTCCTGTAGAATGCCTCATCTTCTAGACTCTTTTTATTGCTTTCTTATGGCATCATTTCACTTGTTCTTCTATGGCTTACATTTTTAATATTCTGAAAATTATAAATACATTCACATTACATATTTTGCGGTAAGAAGATTGTGTGGGGGATGCTGTGTGCTTCGTGTCTCATCATATCTGAAATATCAAATGTCAGAATATTTGACTTCTCTACAATACTAAATTTGATCACGTGGTTAAGGTGATGACATAGTGAACCCTTCCATTGTGAAAGGACTTGTACCCCCTTGAAGCTATGAGTGATGCTGGGGCATCGTGGGGATATCTTGTTTACCCATTAGATATAAGATCCACTAATGATCCATCTACTCAAGTTCTTGAAACATTTTTTTTCTTTGTTCTGTAGGATGTTGCCCAATTCAGTTTCCTTCCTGTTTTTTCACCAGTCACCACTGTGACTGATGTACCTGTAAACATGTGTGAGACTTCATTAACTAGTCTATCCTCGATGTTGGTTTCCTGTTGGGTGTCCATTCTCTTGCTTTTCCTTTTGCCCCGGGATCATCAAAAGGACAGTCAACATGCTGTCTCGATTACTTCATTTTCAAATTATTCTTAACCCCAGTCACTCTTTTTCTCTTCCTGGATGATCTTATCCAACTTGCATGACTTCTGCTATATACGCTAGTATCATGAAACTGCGTCCAAACTCAGAATTCCTTCCATGAGCGTGCTCGGATAGCATTTCCAGGATGAGCCATCAAATAGCGCAAAAAGAAATTTCCTGTGTCTCTTCCCTCCAACTCTTGTCTCCTCTGGTTTGCCCTCGCTCAGTGAAGGGTGCTTCTTTGTCAGTCAGCTTTTTATTACTGCTTCTACACCACATACCCCCATCTTCTCTGAGCATACTGCTCTGACGCCTGTTCTTTTTGGTTGGAACGCCTTCTTTCTTGCTTCTGAACACATGCCAAACTTTCAAGCCTGGGAAGATGAAAAATCTCCTCTGGGGCTTTTCCACAAAGGAGGAAATGACCATTCGCTCTGTTTTATGTCTGCTTTACTGCATACACTACGCTGTCTTAGCGTGCAGTATATAGATTGCATATACTTCTTTGCTTGGCCTTCCTTCTCCATTTTGAGCACTTTGACAGCAAGACTTACACCTTTGGTATTTATCTGTCTTTTATTAGTCATTGGGTAGGCATTGAGTAAATATTTATATTCATGGCCTGCTTGTTTTTATTATGGTCAGTGACTAGTTTTGGTAGTAAAAGATCCTGTGGGAGTGGTGATGAGAAAAATCTTTGTATATCAATTATTTTCTCTTCCTCTACTAAGGAATATGATATTTTATCCACTTTAAAGGAGTCTCTAAGAGAAAATAAATGGCTTCTGTCCATCTCTTTCTTCTTATTTATGTGTTTTTTTAAAAAATTTTATTTATTTATTTGAGAGAAAGAGAGACAAGGTGAGAGAGAGCATGAGAGGGGAGAAGGTCAGAGGGAGAAGCAGACTCCCATGGAGCTGGGAGCCCGGTGTGGGACTCGATCCCAGGACTCTGGGATCATGACCTGAGCTGAAGGCAGTCAGTCGCCTAACCAAGGCACCCCTTATTTATGTTTTTTTTGAAGAGGTGGATGAATGCTTAGTTAAGACAAAGTAAATAATGACAAAATTTAGCCTGTGTTTCAGTGAAATATGAAAGAAGTGCCAAAAAACACATTTTCCCTGTTTTAATTTATAAAGAAGAGGATGTTATTGATTATGGATATGTCATTAACTCAAATTTGAGCTTGCTTTATTACATTTCTAAGAGCTAGAAATGTTTTTAAAAATATTTATTTATTTAAGAGATAGAAAGAGAGAGGCCTTTGTGCTCTGCCTCTGTTGGGGTAGAGGTTGAGAATCTTCATGCAATGCAGGGCTCAATCTCAAAACCCATGAGATCATGACCTGATCTGAAACCAAGAGTCAGATGCTTAACTGACTGAGTCACCCAGGTATCCCTAGAAAAAGTTTGAATGCAAAGACCTAAGTATATATTAGATATTCTTCTTCCACCAAACTTGAATTTTTGCTAATTTTTTAAAAAAGATTTATTTATTTATTTGAAAGAGAGAGAAAATATGTGCGAGAGGCAGAGGGAGAGAATCTTCAAACAGACTCCACACTGAGCACGGAGTCTGACATAGGGCTTGATCTCATGACCCTGAGATCATGATCTGAACCAAAACCAAGAGTTGAACGCTTAACCAATCCACCTAGGCACCCTGAATTTTTGCTAATTTTAAAGCTCAGCTTTACGAATGCTTTCCTACTTCATGAACTGCTGGTCACTACTGCCAAGAACTGTTATGCTCTTTATTTTTCCACTTGTCAATTCTGTATGTATTCCTAGTTGTTACTACTGTAAGTTCCTTTTTAGCTAACTTTAAGATTGGCTTCTGTCTCCTTGTCTCAAATCTTTCTGCTGATGTGTCTTTTATGTTGCCTGATCTTGATCTTTGTTTTGGTTTAGGTTCCCTGCCTAGACCTGTGATTCTTTTTTTATCCGCTTTCCTCCCTAGATTACAAACCTGCTGACTCTACCTCATGCATCCACAGGACAATCCCCTGCATTGGGGTTTATCCACAAACCCTCACAGAGTGCTTCATCTGTTTTCTTTCATTTGGTTGTGTTTCAGTCCTTAACTAGTTCCTTGAATAATATGGCAGAAGTATTGATTTCTTCTCAAGTGGACTGCCACAGAGCCTTGAGCTCATTCCCCTTACTGTCTGTTCTCATCACTTTCTGGATCCAGAGAAGTCTGTCTTTATTTTTGACCTGCCTGTGATTAAAGAGATTATGCACATCTACATTGGTCAGGCATTATGTCCATATTCTACCTTTTAAGGAAATCTCTTTTTGGGAAGCATGCATATAACGGGTTCTTCCTTTCTCCTTCCTTCTTACTATTGAGGCCTGATTGCATTCAGATAAATTTACCGTCATACTAATTTCATTATGAGGCAGATCTTTTACTCAAGCAATTTTCAAAAAGCAGCAAAATACTTCCTTAGTGGTAGCCTCAGAGGGGACTTTGACAGTCAAAATTTTTCTTGGTTAAAAAAAAAATTGGGATGAAAAGTGGTTTCTACCCTTGGAAATCAGAAGAACAAATACGTATTTTTATAGTTGTACCTTTAAAGACTTTTCAATTTTCCAGAATGTCCCATCCCTCTCGTCAAACCTCATATATAAGAAAAGAGGACAAACTGAGTCCAATATGAAGAAGTAGGTCAGAACTCAGTAGAAGAGTCAAATGCCCATTTAGAATTAGGCTATTATAATTGTTCAGGTTGGACCAGGATGGTAGTAGTAGTAATAGAAATAAGATTGTTAGGATTGTTAGAAATGTTAGGATTTTGGATGTATTTGGAAAGTAGAGCAAACTATCCGTAAAACTGTGCTAATTGTTCCTCTTCTCTATATTTCCTTTTTTTTTTTTTTTTTAGTTTCGCTACTCAAATTGGCTTGATAAGTTGTATATGTTGGTGGGGACAATGGCTGCCATCATCCATGGAGCTGCACTCCCCCTCATGATGCTGGTGTTTGGAGACATGACAGATAGCTTTGCAAATGCAAGCATTCCAGGAAACATAACTTTCATAAACGCAACTAATGGAAGTAAGTATTATTTGCAGCACTGATTTTATTGGAAACTTAAAAATCTGTCACTTAAAAACAATGTTTAGCTCTTAGTAAATATACTAGTGGGTTTATCTGTGTGGAAGTTGGAGGGATCTGAGCTACAGTTCCTATTGGTAGTTGGTACCAATTGGTAATTGGTAGTTTGAGAAAATAATAGTCACAAGCATCAAAATCCACGTTGGAAGTGCTGGCAGAGATATGTAGAAAAAGATAGCTCTGTTAAGTCAGAAAAATCCCAGGAAGTTCAGGAAGAGGTAAAAAACAAAACAAAACAAAACAAAACAAAAACCACCTAATCTAGACATCAAATGATAAGTAGGAATCAGTCATGAGATTCTTTGACATGATAGATATGGGTGTCAGAGATAGGAGTCCAGGATGATTCTAAAATGTGTAGCCTGAGGAGCAGAATAGACTGGATGCAGTTACTATCAAGAAAGACCAAAAAAAAAAAAAAAAAAAAAGACAGTAGGTTTGGGCAGTAAATACCAGAAACTTAACTTTGGGTATTGTCACAGGTTGGGCTCCTTGGAGAAATATGGCCAAGAGAAGTTTGTGTGTGTGTGTGTGTGTGTTAGGATGGAAGAAATAATAGCTTGTTTGTATGCTAGTAGAAATGATCCAAAAGATAGAGAAAAAAAATGATGCTTTGAGAGTGAGGGAAGAGAGTTGTCAAGTTGTCCTTGACAAAGGATGGAATATAATGCCCCAAAGGAATACTTGCTTTAGGTAGAATCACGGATAAACTTATCCACTGTAATGGGTGGAAATGGAGAACATGTGAGTGCCAGCGCCCAGAGCTGACTTGAGGCGGAGGTGAGAATTTGTGGAAGTTTTCTTGGGATTACTTCAAAATTTTCTCAGTGAAGTGAGAAGACACTTGGCTGATAAAGGAAAGAGATCTAAAACAGTCTTCCAGGAGAGCAGGAAAGAGACTGAACCATTGAAAAGATTTGGGTGCCATACACACTCTAACATTCACAGTTGACTGTAGAGGAACTGGTTGATATCTCTGAGCTCTCAAGTCACCTTTGGTCAAGCCTAAATTGATTTAAACTCAGCTTCCCAAAGACTTACAACCTGGTGTGCGCTCAAGTGGTAGAGCTTTTGAAAATGTCTGTTTGAGAATACATTTGACAATACATGGATATTCACATAGCTTTTTCAATTTTTAGTCTCTGATGAATGTTATGAATCTTTTCCCCCAAAATGTGCGTATAAATATTCATACCGATTTGGGGTATTTATAGATCCTTTGATACCTGTCAGTGGTCCTAGGAACCCCATTTTTGTAATTCTGAAGAATGCATTGTTTACCTTGAGGCTGGCTTACTTGAGTTCTGTGAATGCAGATAGGAGTTGGGCCAGAAAATTTTAGAGTATGTTTGAGCTATGTAAAATTCCTTTGTATTTATTATGTCCTTTTATGGCATTCAGAAGGAGCTGCCAAAAAATGCATCTTGGAATTGGCCCCTTTCTTTTATACCATTCACCCAAAGGAAGTTCACAGTGCTAGGTTTATTGGTTCCTCTGCATGCTGTATCTGGCAATATTCTTTGGAGTTAGTTTTCCTAACACATTATAGTGGAAGAATCAAATCTTTAGTACTCTGGTAGCCCAGCAGTTCTTACGTGTACATCTGTGCCCATTCGTTTTGGTTTAAGATTTTATTTATTTTTTATTTTTTTTATTTTTTTGAGAGAGAGAGCATACAAGAGGAGGGTAGAGGGAGAAGCAGATTCCCGCTGAGCAGGGAGCCCAATGTGGGACTTGATCCCAGGTCCCTGAGATCATAACCTGAGCTGAAGGCAGACACTTAACCCACTGAGCCACCCAGATGCCCCCATCTGTGCCCATGCTGATTCTCAACTACTGTAATGTCCAGTGGCCTTTTTTTAAAAACTGCATTAAGATTTTTTTTTAAAGATTTTATTTATTTATTTGACACACACAGAAAGATCACAAGTAGGCAGAGAGGCAGGCAGAGAGAGAGGAGGAAGCAGGCTCCCCGCTGAGCAGAGAGTCTGATGTGGGACTCGATTCCAGGACCCTGAAACCATGACCTGAGCCGAAGGCAGAGGCTTTAACCCATTGAACCACCCAGGCACCCCAAGATTTTTATACACTATATTTTCATTACCCAGATATTATCTCTTACTTTATGTAAAAACAATGGATTTCTTTAAGTGGGAGTCCTAATTATGACTATGTCTACCTCCTGCAGATATGATGAGATGGACAGTAATCAGACTCATTTATCTAATAAGCATGCATGAGTTCCCAGACAGTGGTCCAGGTGCAGAGACTGGCTCCCTGAGAGGCCTGTGTGTCTGCCTACTTGTCGCGGCCGGCGCGACAAATCAACCAGGAATGTGAGGGTAAAAGGATGGTGAAAAGAAATTAAGAGACAAAGAGATGGGGGCAGGAGGAGCACTGAGGAGGATGTCCAACAGTGCCGATTTTATTCCACATCTATTAAGCATTTATAAGGCAGACCACAATAGAAGGAGTAATACATCAGTATCTAGTCAGATAGCCGCCAAGTTCCTATAACAAGTTTACATTAACTACAAACAAATCTTGTGATGCCGGGTAATCACGGCTAATGCCATTAGCTACTATTGATACAAGAAGTTACAATCAACCAGGGAGTGGGTTATGGGAAGTACAGGAACAACAAGGACCAACTAAGAATTCATGACCCTGACCACATTGTTCCCTTCTGTAGGGAGAGCGTGTGGGAAGTCACATAGGCGAGCGCAGGACACGTAGCACAGACCCTTCCTCAGTGTTACTCAACTTTCCTGTCCTTAACCCCTTATCAAGGCGTCCAGACTTTAAAGGAGACACAAGTCAGGGCCTGGTTTGATCCAACCATGCCATAGTCTCCAACACCTACTGATCAGTCTCCCAGACTGGAGAATGGCTGCATGGGTGGTCACAGCAGGCTCCTTCACAGATGCCTGCAATACGTGTTTTCCAGCTGGGGTTGTAGTTGACGTTGCATTCCTCTCCTGTACTCCCCCTTTAACTCACTCTTCTAATCTTGGGAAAGCTTTGAACTGTGCTTCTATCAGGCTCTTAGGTGGTACCGTATTTAACTGTTAGGAAGCAGGCTCTGGAGTTGGACTGCCTGGCCACAAGCCCCCCTACCTTCACCATTTTTCAGTTTTGAGCTTTGGGGGATTTCTTCATACTCTAATTTCCTTATCTATAAAAATGTTGACTTTTTAATGTTATTTTACATAGAACATATTTCTATGTAGAACATATTTCATGGAGTGGTTGTGAAAATTAAATGGATTCATCATTTAAGGCTCAAAGAACAGGGCCTAGTTTATAAAAAGCACTCAGTAAATGGTCATTACCATGGTCATGTCATCGGTAAACTCATGCTTCCATGTTCTTCACAGAAAACCTGCATAACTTCCAGTGATGATGTGGTTCTTTATATCATTTCATCTTTATAGAACTCTGTGACACTTAATTTTTATATTGTTTAAAGCTTGAGACATATCTAGAGTTACTCAGTCCTTGTTATAGATGTGGATAGTTGTACATTTCAGCAGCATTTCCTTAGTAACTGTGAACCACTAGCCATGCCTTTCTGAGAAGGCAAGGTCCTCAAACGATGGCCCAGGGGTCAAATCTGGACTGTTGCCTAATTTTTTTTTTAAAGATTTTATATTTATTTGACAGATAGAGATCACAAGTAGGCAGAGAGGCAGGCAGTGAGAGAGGGAGGGAAGCAGGCTCCCCGCTGAGCAGAGAGCCGATGCGGGGCTTGATCCCAGGACCCTGAGATCATGACCTGAGCCAAAGGCAGCAGCTTAACCCACTGAGCCACCCAGGCGCCCAAGATAATATATATATATTTTTTAAGATTTTATTTATTTGACAGAGAGAGAGATGACCAGTAGGCAGAGAGGGGGAAGAAGTCTCCCTGCTGAGCAGAGAGCCCATTGCGGGGCTCGATCCCAGGATCCTGAGATCACGACCTGAGCCAAAGGCAGAGGCTTAACTCACTGAGCCACCCAGGCGCCCCTGTTGCCTAATTTTGTAATGCTTGTGAGCTAAAGGATGGTTTTCTATTTTTAAATCATTGGGGGAAAAAAAAGAAGAATAATATTTTGTGACACAGGATAATTATATAAAATTGAAATTTCAGTATCTGCAAATAAAATTTTAATAGAATACAGCTATGCCCATTCATTTGCATATTTTTGGTGGCTTCTTTAACACTCCTCTGGTGCAGTAGAATTGTTGTGACAGAGACCATATGGTCTCCAAAGCCTAAAGTATTTACCTTCTGACTCTTTCCAGTAAAGGATCACCAGTCCCTGAGGTCAGGCACTGAATGGGGGGTTATTATCTTCAATTGTTCAATCTGTAAACTTGTGCTAAACTGTTCCATATGCCAGGCACAGTACATGTCTTAAGTATTCATTCCCACCCCCCAAGAGACTTAGTGGAGTGGGAGGAATGAATACATGAACCCACAAATGTGGGTATTAGTGCTGTGATACAGAGATATACAAAATACCTGGGAAAGGAGAAGGGCACCTGACTCCATATATAAGAATCATAGGAGGGGTCCAAGAGGAGGTGATAACCAGATTTGATCAGCATCGTACCTCTCTCCTGCACAAAATAAACATGTTCTTTGTAACAAGTGAAATTCCTCTAAAATAAATATTGAGGAAAAAATAAGTTAATATCCTTCTCTCAGCACCACCCCTTATTGCCACTACCCTGCTATATATCCTTCCATGTGTTTCCAAAAGCAGTGTGCAATCTCTACTGCAATTTTTAGTCAGGGACACTCAGTTCCCTGTCGCTCACCTGCTTGTCTGCAGATTGCCGTTTCCAGATAACAAATAATTTGTGGGGACAGCCTCAAAGGCTTTGATGCTGGGCCTAGAGATGAGAGCAAATGAGCTCCCTGATGTTTCTGGAGGCAGAGCCAGTCTACTGGA